TACAGAAATAAATCTTGCTAAATTAAACTCTCTCTCTTTATAGTAATTATTTATATTATTTTATACAATCACAGAAAAAAGTATTGATACAAGGATACTGACTAATAATCGCTCATTTATTAAACTATCCTCTATATGCTAAAATACAGAAATTAAATACAGAAGCAAATATCGATCAATATCTCATCTCCGATTTTTTATTCACGATAGAACCAAGTTTAATCTGTAGACACGTCAAAATCACTTTGCTTGATGGTATCTATTTAGATGTAAATGGTGGTCATTGTATAAGCATGCTTCCCCATAGAAGTTAAAAAATATGTCGCATTTCGTATATTTTGACGATCTTTCTATCGTGAATAAATAACCGCAACTGTTTGTGACAGCCACGACTGTTACTTGTTGTAATCCATTCAATTGTAATACATTATAACATAAATGCTAATTTTCAACATGCAATTTATGTAATTGCTAGTATTATAGCATTTTACAAGAGAATTTGTGTATCAAAACAATATCAGTTATTAATAATTATTGTATTCGTGATTTGCATTTTTATATTTGTATTATGCTAATGAGAGTGTCATCTTCCGTGTTAACATCTTTCAGTCATGTATATACACTTTAGAACTCGTAATGTGACCGTTTACATATATTCCTACAAAATAAAATCTTTTTCTTTCATATTTAATCAAATATGAAAGCAACGTTTTCATATCTACATATATGATAAACTATATCCTCGACGAGATTCGCGTATCCGAATAAAACAGAATGCGGCTGAATTCTTATGTTTGTGATTAAGGGGGGAGTCTGATTTACAGGCTTCAAAAAATCCAATTTTTTTTTGCTAAAAACTATTCCAAAACTGTATTTTTTGAAGAAGAGGAAGGACTACTGTATGGCCCAGGGATAGCTGATTAACCTCTAATTACTGTAAGTACCTAAAAACTTATATTTTTTGGGACCGAAAACTTTAAAGCGTGTTTTCTCTAGTTTTCATTTTTACGATTTTTAGAAAACGGTGCCGGCGATAGCAAAAAGAATATACGTCCGATCGAAAAAAAATCAAAGTGATTTAGCTTCAGTATTAAATTATCTTCTCTTTCAACTAAAAAAGTTGGACAAAAGTATTATTTAAACTACTTTTTTTGCAACTTAAAGTGAATTTATTTTTTTTCAAAAAAGTGAATTTTTTTTTCAAACTTCGAAAAAATTTGGAATTTGACAACTTCTTCGATATTTTCTTAGTTCATATAGAAAAGAAACTTAAAATTAAAAAAAATTTTGTCTCGACTGTTTCAGACGCACCGCACGACCTCCATCACCGGCACCGATTAGCAAGTGCAGACTCCAGGCGCTCCGGCAAAATTATCATAAATTGAGGAATTTTAATATTTTTTAAATAACAAAAATTGTTTTTCAAAGCTGAAATACAGTACAATATGTTTTCAAAATTACGCTTACCGTAATCATTTCCTTCCCTTTCAAAAAAATCGCTGAAAAAACGCTTTTTTTTTTGGCTCGTAAATCAGACTCTCCCCTTAAACTGTGATCATGAAAATGAAAATAAACTGCAAAAATATAATACAGTCTATTTATATTTATATCTAACAGTAATGCAACTGCCAATTTACAATTCTATTACGGCTGCAGATAAATCAACGTGTAGGTAGCGGCAACCTAAAAATCTACAAAATTGTAAATATTGATTCTTTGCACATGTAACTGTCAATTTCTATTCATAAATTATTAAATATATGAAAATTAAGTTTAAGATTAATATTCTACAAAAATTTCGTAAAATGAGCATATAACAACACACAAGTTCTTATTAGTGATAAATCATTATAAAACAAATAATTTATTCTTGTACATTGGTATAAAGGCATATAGAGTCATAATATTAGTTGTAATTTAACAATACTTACTAAATCTAATTCGTAATCCAACGATCACGATCTATTCCGGACGTTTCGGCAATAGTTTCTTGCCATCTTCAGCGATGATATATATATTCATGTTTCGATTGAAAATTAAGATATCCAAGAATAAGCCTCGGCCAATGAAGTTCTTCATCTTATTGGTTACGATATTGTTGTCTAAATTAATTTTAGAGTAAATGTGTCGATGAGGGGACCCCCCTCCAATGACTTTGACCTTAACATATGTTATCAAGGTCATGATTCTGAGTAACATTGCCTTAACAACTAGCCGTCGCTCGCCCTTCGTTAAAAAGTTATTAACAATTATAGTTTTAAAATAGTAAATGTCTCAATCAGGGGACCTCCCTCCAATGACTTTGACCTTGACATATGTTGTCAAAGTCATGACCCTGAGTAACCCTCAACAGGTTTTAGCTGTCACTCGTCCTTCGTTAAAAAGTTATTAACAATCATAGTTGTAACGTATGCTATACATGTATGATATGAAGTACTATTCTACACCTTTCCCTGTTCAGAAACGTTGAATTTTCCATGCGAAGTAACTTTCACCCCCTCCCGCACAGGGGCACACGACTTCTACGATTGTACTATTGCTATGATTGTACTGTCGGGGCAGACCTCTGTGACGGTGTGGGTGCGGGGGGAGTGGCCGAAGACCGCCCCCTTGCACCCGCCCGTGTGTGTGTGTGCGTGTGCGTGTGCGTGTGTGTGTGTGTGTAAAATATCAAGTAATAGACTCATAATCGTTATATAACGAATGGAACATCGTAAGTTAGATTAATAAATTCATGCAAATGCATTTTTAACGTTTGTAAAGTGTCTTACTTGCGTCGAGGTAATCAGACTGACTAATTGGAACATATCGATCGAAACTATTCACAACGACTGAAAAACTCAAACCAAAGATATATCAATATAACATTTTCGGAAGTTTATCCAAAAGAAGTCACAGTACACACACACGCACACGCACACACACACACGGGCGGGTGCAAGGAGGTGGCCTTTGGCCACCCCCCCCGCACCCACACCGTCACAGAGGTCTGCCCCGACAGTATAATCACAGCAATAGTACAATCGTAGAAGTCGTGTGCCTCTGTGCAGGGGGGGGGGGGGGGTGAAAGTTACTTCGCGTGGAAAGTTCAACGTTTCTGAACAGGAAAAGGTGTAGATTAGTACTTCATATCATACATGTATAGCAAAAATAATACGTTTATTTTAAAAGTATGATTGTTAATAACTTTTTAACGAAGGACCAGCGACGGCTAAAACCTGTTGGAGGTTACTCAGGGTCATGACCTTGACAACATATGTCAAGGTCAAAGTCATTGGAGGGGGGTTTCCTCATCGACACATTTACCGAATAAAAAATTAACTTAACTTAAGTCAATATTGAATTAACTCAAGTTGAAAAAAAAGTTTATTTCGGAAAAAATTATTTTTTAGATAAAAATGTCCTAATTTTTTTTGAAATGAGATTAAGTAACTACAATTTAGATTATTAGGTTTACTTTAACCGTATAATTGACCAATTATTATGCTTACCCTCAGATTAGCGCAAGAAATATTTGTATATGTACAAAATATATATAGCCTCCTTCACAACCATTATTCTTATTATTATGATCGGAATATATCAATTTAATCTGTTGTAAATATATCAATTTTTCTGTTGTCTCTGAACATAGAAAAATGAAAAACTACGATTTTGATTGGGAAAATGTGTCTGTTTTGGATGAGGAAAGATTCTATAATAAACGCATAGTTTCAGAAATGATTTTAATTAAAAAACAGTCTAACGGGTTATAAATTTGAAAACAGACACAGAACTACTAAACAAAACATACACAGATTTAATAAATAATGAAAAGAGCAATAATAGAAATTGAAAGTGATATCACATATAGACAAAGTTTCTTGTCTCAGTTTAGATACAACCGTTACAAGAACATGACACTATTAATATGTATTTGACGTATTTATTGGATCAAAAAGTAGTACTGTGTAATTAAATTGATATATTCCGATCATAATAATAAGAATGATGGTTGTGAAGGAGGCTATATATGTTTTGTACATATACAAATATTTCTTGCGGGTAAGCATATCTGAGGGTAAGCATAATAATTGGTCAATTATACATATCGATTTTTTAAATAATTATTTTAATATTTACATATTAGTTTTTTGAAAAATTACTTACAATACTTTTAATACTAAAATTAATTCAGACAATATCGTAACCAATAAGCTGAAGAATTTCATTGGCCGAGGGTTGTGCTTATTCTTGGATATCTTAATTTTCAATATATCATCGCTGAAGATGGCAAGAAACTATTGCCGAAACGTCCGGAATAGATCGTGATCATTGGACTACGAATTAGATTTAATAAGTATTGTTAAATTACAACTAACATTATGACTCTATATGCCTTTATACCAATGTACAAGTTTAAATACATAGGTTATTTTATTTTTTTATGTTTAATTGCGAGAGTCGTTAACTTGATATTATTTCAATATTTAAAGTTTTTTAAACTATTATTAAATAATTTATTCATATCATTGTCATAATCAAATAAATAAACGTTTCGGTCATTAACTTGACCATATCTTCAGTATTCAATTACAGATATAAATATAATCTCTAAAATTAATGTATGTGTCAAAAGTTTATAATTCTACAATATAATTTTTTCGCTTACGACATTAACAACAACGCAACCTTGTTATTTTTTTTTGTCCCTCCTCATGATTACAGTCTGCCGATAATATACGCCAGTTTATGTAATTGTGATCGAATATCATCAAAATTATAGTTACCAGACTGTGTGATAAAAAGTACATTTATAGCATGACAATATAATAGCACATGAATAATTCAATTTGAGGAAATAATTCTGATTACGTGCTATCTTGTTTTATACTCTCTTGTATATAATATTATCGACGAAAGTACAATGCACGTCGCGTTGGAACTTTCTCGAACGACATGTACCTACTTGATACGTTTCACTTGGCAAAGGAGAATTAAGGACGCGGAGGCACGTATACCGGATAATGATCTTGATCCTCGTTGGGAAGTACCTGATGGCTTCTGTCGTGCCAACCATCTGAGACGTGATATAATCCATAATTAACGCCACTAGTAGCTATCTTTTTCAGACCTTGTATGCTGGACAATATAAGAGCCATTTTGGCGAGGATCAGAGCTTTACCACCCAACACCGCAAGGAATTGAAAACCCATCGGCACTAGAATCGTACCCATCAACAACAGGCCCATCATCATCAACGGGAATACATGATTTTTACGACGGTAACGGCGTTTCCGACCTATGGAATGCAAATTTAACTTTAAAGTTTAAGTTTCATCATTTCATTTGTGCTGCACTGCCATAATCCACGTTTCGACTCACCCTGAACGATATTACTATCCAGATTTCGTACGGACATTGGACTATTAGCAGCTTTATTAAATATACGATCGACGTCAATTTTAAAAGCGTGAGTTCGCAGGATATGTGTCATTCGATTCCAGATGATCGCCAACCAGCTGGTATCCTCCTCTTCTAACTCATCGGTAGAATGATGTCTGTCGAAAACCGCTGCACGTATTTTAATCGCAAATATGATTTTATTTTATATAAAGGGCTTGCAATAACGATACGTTAAATTAAACGTAATATTATAAATTTCATGAATACTTAATATTCTTCTTTCAAAAATTCCTCAAACTCAACTTTGAAAGAAATCAATTTTTAATCACACAATTGACATTATCATTTAACTGCAAAATTATCCGTATACCTTCTGCATGTTACTCGGCACATTGTTATGTTCCAAACCCTTATTCACATAATTAATTTTATATAATATATAGTATTATATTTCTTATAATAATTCATTACATCTTACGTAATTTCAATAGCGCTGAGACACTACCGTGTCCCCAGATAAAGCAAAAGCATATCAGAAATATATAATAAACGTATAAAGAAAAAACAGTCTATATCGAGAAATTTTCTGGCCATTTTATACATTAAAAAAATCTTATTACCGCTCGATTTAGACCGTTTTTTTCATTATACTTCGCATTGCAAAAATCGAGTGAAATCTAATTACATAATAAATGCTTTACCCTCTTACCATATATTTCGAATATTATTTAAAAAATAATTAGAAAAGTTGAATGTAAGGCTGAACTTTAAGCATGTGATAATGCATTCTTCCGAAATTCGACGAATTCTAATATAGATAATATTACATATTCTTACTACAGCATGCTTCAATGCACATTAATGTACTATACAGCAAACTTCGATAAAATTCCTTTAACAATATCTCCCTCATTTGCATACCTTTTAGCATTGAACTTTTATCCCTGCAGCGACTACTCTCTCTCTCTCTCTGTCTCTCTCTCTCTCTCTCTCTCTCTCTCTCTCTCTC